GCCTGCATGGGCACGTGCGGCCATGCACAGCGCACTGCACCCGGAGGGGACGCACAAAGGAGACGCGGGTTCAGGGACACTGTGGATGGTGTAAGATATGAAAATGATAATTATAATTTATCAAGGGTTCACAAGGGCGGGAGGGAGAAAAAGGGGAGCTGATACCAAGGGCTCAAGTAGAAAGAAAATGTTTTGAAAATGACGATGGAAACCTATGTACGAATGAGCTTGATGCAGTGGATGGGTGGATTGTGACCAGAGCTGTCAGAACCCCCCCCCCGAAGATGATTTAGAAAAGAAAATACCATAGCTTAGACCTCAGAGTAACTGCCCTCCAGGGGCCTGGTGCAGCAGATCCCCCGACATTGCCGCTTTCCTGTGTGCATGGGAATATTATAACGTGAACGAGGACAGATGCTAACGTAGATCTTGTAGACCACAGCCACACACACGTCTGTGGGTGCTGACAAGGTGTTTCCTGTGTTTGGGGTGTGTGCCCCCACACACACACAATAAATAAAAATGACTTTGATCTCCCAGATGCCGGACGACAGCGCTGTTTTCGTTTGAATGCTTTCACCTTGAAGTCCTTGCCGACTTCCCTGCAGCAGAGAGAGAACAAGTGATCCAGGGCACCTCCACCCCGCGTGTCCTCTCTCTTGTCTGTCTCGTCAGCGTCCTGGGGTCCCAGAGGCTGCTCTCGGGATGCCTCAAGTCCCTTCCCAAATCCCAGGGAACCAGAGGGTCACACACTGCGGACCCTCGGGACGGAGTCCTGCTTGGTGAAGTGGCGATGAGGACGAGGCCCGCGGTGATGAGAGAAACCGCCCGGCCGGGTCACACGCTGGAAGGAGGTAGAAGTGGAGTTTGGAACCCAACACGTGGTCAGGACACAGTCCAGTTGGCTGACTGTCGGGGAACCGGGTAGCAGAGGCAAGGGCAAAACCAGTGAGAGGTGGCTCCACACGCCCACCTCCTCCTCCATCACAGCCATGTTGCATGTTCCTAAAGGAATTCTGCACCCTGGTGGATGGTTGTTTTAGGGATATACCCAGCGAAACACCAACCCATCCGGCTGTTCCTACACTGGGTGATGCCCTCTGAGATGTACAACCCCTCCCGTCCTGCTGCTCTGAGGCGCCCCTCCCTTGCTGCACCTGCTGACCCTGCCATGCCTATCTCACCTCTAGCCTGTTGTCTCTTTGACCCCAATGGAGACTCCCTGAGAGAGCAACACCCAAGGCTGAGCTTCTGTTCTAGTTCCGCTAAACCATTTGAAGATGACCTCAGGGCAGTCATGAAAGGGGCTCATCCGACCCATGGCCCTGTAGGGGACAGCAACAGAGACAGTGCGGGAATGGCGCCCAATTTGATCCTGCCACAC